AGGTTTTGGTTTCTCTGCAGTCGTCTGTTGATCTGCATGCTGATCGTCAGCCTCCTTTATGTGATCACCTTTCCTGTCTCTTCGTTTCCTTCCTGCCTCTTTGTTTTTTCTGTTTTTTTAGCAAATCTGTTTTCAGTAAAAGCTTGGATATCACAAACGCTAACTGCAGCAAGGAGGAAAGGTACGGCTCTGCCCCGTTCCTCATCTCGTTTAGTTTTTTCCGTTATTTTCCCTCCCAGACTTGAAGCTCGTAGCTGCAGCAGAAACTGTTTTTCTTCTTTGGGGCAGAAAATGTTCAAATCTGAAGACAGTTTTTCTAAACCAAATGAAACGTCTGTGAAGAGATGATAAAAAAAGGGAACCAAACTCCAAAAGGTTAATAAACTGTTGAAGTGTTTGACAATAATTATTCAAAAATACAAAATGCAGAGATGTGACTTTTTTTTAACTTTGAGTCCCAACAGATTTACTTAATTAGAAATCTAAGATTTCCAGTGAAGTGTCCTAATAAAGTGTATAATCATAACTGCTGACTCAGTAAAACTTTAAACCACTCAAATGCTAAATAATGTCCAACTGACCGTTTGAAGCCTCAGATCATCGACAGAGCAGAACCACATCCAACAGAAATGATATTTTTACATCCAAAAGGGTCAAATTAAAATACTCTAATTAAACATTTAGTCTATAATGAGTCTTTGGACAATTATTCAACATAATCTGCTGCTGAAAACCTTTGAAATTTCCTTCAGACGCTTCAGTTTCTCAACATTTTGGGTAAAAATTTGAGATTTCAAGAATAAATCCACAATACTGGAGTTCACTGTGAATGAATTTTAAATCAACATCTTAAGTCTCCGCTTGTGTGACGACATGGGGGAAAATCTAAAGTAACTCAGCCAAAGCATCAGGAATGGAACCGCAGAACCTCCACCGGTCCGGTCCAGATCAACCAGCTGCAGCCATGCGGTTCAGGAAGGAGCTCTGACCTCGACCTGCAGGTTCTGCTCAGAGATGAACGGGTTTTAGTGGGAAATGTGAAAATGAACCCCAGAAGAAAACAGAAAATCTGACAGAAATGAGAACAAGATGAGCTGGAGGAGAAACCATCAGAGTAAAGCAACGAGCTCTGACCTGTGTCCACAGAGAGGCTGACATGAATCTGTGTCCTTCAGATCTGAGCGTTTGTTTTTAAAACGGCTCCAGTTTGCTGCAGTGTTCAAACTCTGTCAGCATGACGCCGAGGATGACGCAGACGAATCAAACCGTGAAGTGAAATCCTGGACTGGTTTGTTTCCTGTGAGAGGAGCAGGAATGATGGTGCTGGAGTCGGACGCCATGTTTTCTGCGGCCCATCAGCGAGTCGTTTGTGGGCCTGGATGCAGATTAGCATAAATTAATTGGCAGGAATGCAGATGGAGGACAAACAGCTCTCAGCAGCCCGTTATCTCAGTCATCGGCTAATTGGGGCGACGCGAGGAAACGACGCCTGTTGCAGCAGCAGGAATTAATTTAGCCGCCGCGATCCGGAGAGCTGCCGGCGTTCAGACTGGACGGCCGTCACCTGTAATGAGTTTCATGTTAATGGAGCTCCTCATGTGAAGTGGCGGAGGCGTGGCCAGAGTCCGGCTGGATCAGGCGGTGATCCGATCAGCCGATCCCGGATCAGGATCAACAGCAAAATCCAGATTTAAAAATCTGGATTTCAGTTATTATGAAGTCTGGATACATATTGAAAAATATTTAGATTTCCAGACTTTATTCCCAGCGTATAAATGTTGGATTCATCCATTAACCCATTCATCCTCCTCAGTGTTTGTTCTCTATGAGCAGTGAAAGCTGCAACGCTCCACCTGTGAAAGTGAATCTGATGTTTCTCCCTGCCAGTCAGACGATAAACTGCTGAACAGAACAACATAAAGTCTGAAGGCTTCAGAATTACCTGCCATGAATTCAGAATCTGTTGGTTTAAATACTTAAACTTTAAAAATGATCATCTGGAGACTGAAAAACACGAAGGAATCCTGAAGCTCCAGATGAAACTGGATCGAAACAGGAAACTTCTGGTTGCTATGGTGATTCCCGCCTGTATTTGGAGGGGTGTGGCCCGCAGCATCACTCTTTTCACCAATCAGAAGAACAAGTCTGTGTGAGGAACGATCAGAACATGTTTGGTAGATCTGATTCTGTCTGCAGTGATTTATGATGAAAACAACTTTATGTTCCAGTTTTCAAGAAAATTTGAGCTGAAATCTGAGTAAATGTTGATGTTTTCATAGAAAACCATAAATCCTATTACAGTGTACTGAAACGAGATAAAATATCAGTTTTACTGTAAACATTTAGCATCAAACTGTTGGCTTGAAATGAGTTTTAATCCTAGTTTATGAATATTGTAGCTGTTTTGCTAAAAGCTAAAATAAATGCTGGAACTTAAAAAGCATCAAAAAGCCGTTCAGTCAGATAAAATCCAGCCTTTAATGAAGTTTCAAATGTTTTTCAGTAAACCTGGTTTTTCTGCCTCCTCTTGTTTTCTGGACGTTTCTGTCACCGTTCCTGCCTTTGAGGTCAAGAGTGTTTAATTATGATTTACTGCTTCCATGCTGTAATTTCCCACAGTGAAGCCAGGAAACATCAGCAGCTCGCCGTGTTTCCACCTCCTTCTGACGACGTCGGAGCGGAAAACAGGCAAAATGAAAAGTTAATGAGACGAGAATGAAAAATGGAAAATCTGATGATGAGGAGAAAGAAGCAGCAGCGCTGATGAATAAAACGTTTGAAGCGAGTCGGCGTGTTTAAAATGCTGACAAGTTTCCATCAGTTCAGACGTTAACGCTCCGGCTGCCACAAGACGCAGCTCAAACTTCCTCCGTTTACTTTAATCAATCAAATAAACCAATAAAACATCTGCATAATTACATGACGTCACTTCATCACTATCTGCGACTTTTATTGAGTCACTGGGTGTTAAACATAAAAACATAAAAACATTTTGATTCAGGACAGAGAAAAACAGGATAAAATGTAAAACTCCAGACTTTATTGTCCAACATAAATTTAAAAAATAGTAAAAATGAAGTTTTTTTTTATTTTCTCTGCAAGAAGAAAAACAAACTTCAGTATGTGCTGATCTTAAATATGAATAAACAGATTCACTTTGTTTAAAGGTCAAAGGTCATGCAGGCCATTAAGCCTTGTTCTCACCTAAATATAGAAATAGTTTATAAGCAGAATCAGTTTTAAATCTCATTGCTGTTATTAATATAGAGAAGCTTAATGTTTATCATTTACAATCATGTTAAAATCAGTAAATTTGTAATTTATTACTCAGTGCTAATAAACATCTGGTAAAACACGTAATAATGTGACATAGAAAGTGTCTCTTAGTCATCATAATTAAATAAAGTGGAATAAATCAGAATAAAATAAGATTTAATCATCATGTCAGCATATCCAGCTGGTAAACAAGTTTTTCTCCCCAAAATGTTTAATCCAGTATTTTCACTGGTTTTATGTGTATTGTTGCACAGACGGTATAGAACAATAAATACAAACTACATTACAAAATTTTAAAATTGACAAATAACTAGACCAAAAAGTCAATTAGGAGGAATTTACTGTTGTTTTGATTTAAATATGAAATGTTTGGTTTGAGATCAGAAATTAAAAACGTGGAACAGGAAGTTAATTATAAACTTATAAATGAGTGAACTAAAGTTTGATGGAAGCTGTTTTGTTGCTGTGACGTTTCTGCTGAATGTTAACCTGATGTTGTTGCTTCAGGTCGCGGTCGATCAGCGGAGCGTCCTCCGGTCTGTCCACCAGCCCCCTCAGCAGCCCCAGGGTGAGCCGCCGTCCCTCATCCCAGCTGGCTGGCTCTGCTGGCATGCTGCACACACACACACACACACACAGAGACACACAGAGACACACAGAAACACACACACAGAGACACACAGAGACACACAGAAACACACAGAGACACACACACAGAGACACAGAGACACACAGAAACACACACACAGAGACACAGAGAAAAACAGAGACACAGAGACACACACAGAGACACACAGACAACAGACACACAGAAACGCACACACAGAGACGTAGACACACACACACACACACAGACACACAGACAGACACAGAGACACACACACACACACACACACACACACAGTCCTCCACCTCAGAACGCCATCAGCAGCCACTTCAGACTTCATCCAGCCTGTGGGACGCAGAGCGATTCCTGAATGTTGGGACTTTTCATGGTGAAGTCCTTCAGCTGTGGTGAGAGGAGATGATGATGATGATGATGATGATGATGGTGATGATGATGGTGATGATGATGACCAGCTGGCGTCACACAGAGCTCCAGATGAAGTGATTCTGGATCTCAGATCCAGAGATGTTCTTCCATACGTGTCGACCTGCTGAACCGATCATCAGAGATTCGCTGCAGGGACAGAGAATCTGTTTGGTTCTGTCCTCATTAGATAAGTCTTAATAATGCGATAAATTAGGAAATATAATTAATAAAATTCTAATTCTGTTGTATTTGAAATCTATGCACCAGATGACCTTAACTGATGTTATCATAGCTGAATCGATCGCTGTTTATTTATCTTAATATCATAACTGACCCTGATAGCATTGTTAGCAAAATAACATGCTACCTGAGTTAGCTAGTGGTAATTTAATGCAAATAAATATGCTAACTGACCCATAATCAGTTTCCTTTTTTAAAAATTAAATGGTATGAGCATAAATAAAGCACTAAATGATCCTGATTACCATATTAATATAATTAATGTACTAACTGTAATTGTATGTCAGCGTTGGTAATACACTCAGCTTTAGCGCACACTAGCATAATTAAAACACTAACACACAGAGACAGTGGAGAAAACGTCTGCAAATGACTTGGAATCCAGTTAAACAAAAAAATATGGAAATAATGAATATGTGGGGATCGACTGTAATCCACCTCAATGACATAGCAGCAAAAATTATAAGCTAACTGCAATACTAGCATTTAGGTTAATATGCTAACCTAGCGATAGCTGACATACTCAATATGTTAACTAACCTTTAGTGGGATATTAGCATTATTGTCAATATTTAGTATAAAAAGGTGACATGCTAACTGTTAGCATGATAACTATGCTAACTGATGGTCTCCACTCTGAAGTGGCTGCTTGGTCTTGTGTTTTTGGTCCACTGCGTTCTGTGGGTTCTGGCTGATCCGACCCGATCGGATCAGTCATCCCTTCCTGTCAGCACTGAGCATGCTCTCTGGCTGTTCTCCCCGGCGGAGGGCTAAGCTAAACCTGTTAGCTGGGTCACCAAGCTGCTAGGGATGCACCGACGTTCCAGAAGATAAAGACGTCTCACTGATGAGCGATTTCAGCTAAATGAGGATTAAAACTACATGGTTTGAACTCGGTGCATCCCTTCATGAATGCTTCACTGCTGCCTCCTGATTGGCTGATCACTCTGCTAATAGCATGTCCTGTTTTCTTTCTTTCTTGCACTCTCACCTCCTCCTGCCTGCTCCTCTCCTCCCACCATTTTGTTCCATTTCTGGCTGTTTTAATCTTTTTTTCTTCTGTATTGGAATGAACTTTTTGGGCTGTGGTGTTCTGGCTTTCTCATTGGCTGACGCTGCTGTCACGTGTCACGCTGCATGGCCAACCGCAGCCCCACCGCCGGTTTTTCGTCCCGCCCCAGTCCCCCGATCTGTGTCAGTCCCCGAACTGCAGCCCTACGCACCTGAACGGGGTGGGGCCCCGCGCACCCTACCAGCCAAAGATGGGGTCCCCCCTCATGCACCCCCGCACGCAGACCCTCCCCGCCAAGCCCAAAGTGTCAGAGAAGCCCCTGCAGACCACCAGGTCCAACCCGCTGCCCCACACGGCCCAGACCCCCGGCGCCCCCAAACCCGAGCCGTCCACGGCGAGCCAGCCCCTGGCCCCCAGCAGCCCGCGGACCAGACGCCACCCTCCCCTCACCGTCCCCCCCAAGCTGTCCATCCCGCTGTCCCCGGTGCCCCCCCTGTCCCCGCTCCGCCGCCACCTCCACCCTGACCACAACGCCAAATCTGTCCCCATCACGCAGGTAACCCCCCACCCCTCCCCCAGGGGGAGTCCCCTCCCCACCCCGAAGGGCACGCCGGTGCACACGCCCAAGGACAGCCCGGCCGGCACGCCGAGCCCCACGCCGCCGCCGAGCCCATCCATCGGCGGGATGCCCTGGAGGACGCGCCTCAACTCCATCAAGAACAGCTTCCTGGGCTCGCCGCGCTTCCACCGCAGGAAAATGCAAGGTATGATGGGAAAACGCTGCGGTTTCACTTCATCTGATCCAATTCATCCAAACAGATATTCATCTAAATGCAGCACAAAAACAAAGCGCTCCGGTTTTACCTGCAGCAGCTGAAGGTTTAGTTTGTATTTGTAACACAGTCACCGAAACATGAACCATGAAGCTCCGCTGCGGTTTGGTCCGTCGCTTCCCAGATGAATAAGTTATGATTCAAGCATGACGAAAGGTGAAGAGTGTCAGGGAGTATTATTACTTTACAACAGAGTAGTTCCTTATAGTTGTGTTAATGAATGTAGGAAAACTGAATGTGCTGATTAGACAACAGAAGTTGATCCAGATGTTTGTCTGCCTGCAGTTCCCACCCAGGAGGACATGTCCAGCCTGACCCCAGACTCGTCTCCAGAGTGAGTTCAGCTCTTCCTGCCGTCCGTTTCAACCAGTCAGTGAAGCTGAAGGTGGGAAAGAGACGGAGGAAAGCAGCTGGATGAGTCAGCTGACGCCATGTTGCTGCTCCAGAGTCGCACCGTTATAAATAACTTTAACAGAAATAGAAAGGCTGGCGTCACCCAGCAGATTAATCTGAAGATTTATTCAACCGTCTGTTTGTCTCATGAAGCTTCCTGAGGATCCTCAGGTTTACCACACAAAGTCAAATTCATGCAGCTTTAAGGATTTTCCAGGAGTTTCCAGGTTTTCCAGCATGTTGTTCGTGTGACACCTGAACGATGTTTTTGTTTTGGTGACTCCTGATTGGTCCCTGCAGGCTGGCTAAGAAGTCGTGGTTTGGGAACTTCATCAACCTGGAGAAAGAGGAGCAGATCTTCATCGTGATCCGGGACAAACCTCTGAGCTCCATCAAGGCCGACATCGTTCACGCCTTCCTGTCTGTGAGTGGAACAGTCAAAGCCCGATCTGCTGACAGGAGAGAGGAAACTAGCTGCTCATCTTCAGGTTCTGATCAGATCCTCAGGCGGAAAAGTTTGGAGTAAAAAACATTTCTGGAATTTTTTTAAATAAATATTTTAATAAAAACATGTAAATAAAAACTATAACTAGTCACAGAACCATAAATACAGAAGGCAAAGATTCTCAAAGTCAGATTCTGCTTTAAACTAGGATATTAAAGGCTGACTGTGAATGAACTGGGGACACCTAGTGGCAGGAAGTCAAACTGCAGCCAGTATTTAACGTGCTGGTCGTATGAAACAGAAACTTTCCTGTTCAGTGCTCCCATTTCTCCACGCTGCTCGGCGGAAACCGTTCCTCTGCTGCTGAAAATGATGGAGCCAGAAGTTTATGAAGGGAGAAGCAGCAAGCAACATTCAGATCGGCCTAGTCAAAGTCTGGATTAAATCTGACCTTAAACAGGAAGTTCATGCTGGAAAGACTCCTCCAGACATTTTCAGGAAATATTATTTATTATTATATATAATATTATTGATATTATTTTTAGGTTGTTTGGATCATTTTTCTTCTCCTTAATAAATATAATTTAATCATTTTTAAAATGTATTCAGGTTATCTGATGTCAGCTTCCTGTTTGCGCCTAAAGAAAAAAGTTTTTATTTCTCACTGGAAGCAAAACGTTTGATCTGATCTGAACCTGAAGCGAGTTTCAGATTGAGTGTCTGGTCGGCCAGACGCTGACGCTGCGCAACGCCCCATCCGTCACGCCGCCGCTCTGTGTGTGTGTGTGTGTGTGTGTGTCCAGATCCCCAGCCTGAGCCACAGCGTCATTTCTCAGACCAGCTTCAGGGCCGAGTACAAATCCACGGCCGGTCCCACGGTTTTCCAGAAGCCGGTCAAGTTCCAGGTGGACATCACCTACACGGAGAGCAGCGGCGCCACCAAGGAGAACGGCATCTACTCCGTCACCTTCACCCTGCTGTCAGGTGAACACACACACACACACACACACACACACACACACACACACACACACAGCACAGGTTAGCAATCACCACAGGCACCACACTTACACTCGAGTAGAACTACATCAACATATTTTTACTCAAATAGAAATGATTTGGTAAAAAGCGACTCAAAGTGCTGATCAAAACATTGGTTGAATATTTTACATCACATCATCACTCAGGTGGAAATGTTGGTATTTTAAAGACCAAAATGAAATGATTACAAAATCAGTCAAGAGAAAAAAATGGACCAATTAGTTTTTTCAATCTAAAACAAACTGCAGCTGTCTGTGTTTTAAACGTTTGTTCTTCATTCAGTGAAGTTACTCTGAGGAACAGCAGTTAAAATAAATCAAAATATTTTTTCCAAAAAGTTACTCAAGTAAATAAATAAATAATAATAATAAAGTAAAACTGTAACTATTTGCTACATAATTCTTGTAATCAATAACTGTGTTTCCATTGACAACAATTTGATGTTTTAGTAAATTTGCTTAATGGAAATTCACCAATTTTGAAAAAATAAATTTGTCTGATACGTAGCTTTGGGGTTAACATGAGGTGATTTATTTTTTTGTCCTCATTGAAATCACAGTGAAAACACTTTTGTGCATCACATGATCAACATGTTGCCACTGGCAAAAACCACAAAGACGACGACAGGAAGTGGAGGGTCATGTGATTTTAATTGTGTTTTCAATTGGAATATAGTGGGAGTTTTTGTGTAGAATATTGACAAAGTTTTGTACATTTGTAAAGGAGACGCAGTTTGTTACTGAGTTTAACGTTTGAAGACGGATGGTTGGACTGGATTAGCTTTAGAGAATCATTGTCTGAATCAGATTTAAATGATTTAAATATCTCGTTTATGTTTGTTCTTCCTGTCAGGTCCAAGTCGGCGTTTCAAGCGCGTGGTGGAAACCATCCAGGCGCAGCTGCTCAGCTCCAACGACCAGCCGGGCATCCAGCCGCAGATATCCGGTAAGTCCAGCTCTTCCTCCTCCTCCTCTTCCTCATCCACAGCACCTCGGCTCGGATCGGCTCGGCTCGGCACCGCTTTAGCACTCCCCATGTCCCCGTGCATGCTCCCCCGCCTCGCCCCATCCCATGGCGCGCTCGCCATCCTGTGCGGCTCCGCAGTAAGCCGGCGGCGTTTCTGGACGCTCAGCAGGCGTAGTTCAGCCTCCGGACAGCAGGGGTCTCTCTCAGCGCTGCGCTCAGCAGAAAGCCGGCCGACCCGGTTCTGGTTCTGATCAGAAAGACGCACTGAAGGGAAGAAAGCGTGACTGTGTCCTCCAGGTGTCTGTCTGTCCCTTTCTTCATGTCCTCACTGTGGTTGTTGGCTTGGTAACGGCTCCCTCTTGTGGTGAAGAGCAGCAGCTACAAGCTGGGGATCCGTTATCAGAACCCATCGCTCCTCCACGCCGCCCTGCTTCCCATCATGCACTGCTTCACTCCAAACCCTCCTGGATGGACTGAACCACCAGCATACTCCATGGAAACCCAAACCCAGACACGGCCGGACCGGACCGATCAGAACCGGATCGAACCGGGCTCCTGGCCTGGTCTGGGTTTGTGTTTTCTGGTTCTGGATGAGCCGCCATCTTGGTCCATTAAGAAGGAACCTGCATGTCCAGCTGTCCTCATGTGACCTGATGACCTTCTGTCGGTTTAAGAAACCGAATGTTAACCCCTTCATTCCACGTCAGCGTCTAGAGGTCAAAGTTCAAAAGGTTTGGAGAAAACATCATCATCATCATCATCATCACATTTTAACATTCAGAAGTTCTCACACTCTGTAAGAAATAGACACTGTAAAAACACAAAATATTACCAAGTATTTTGTTCTGGTTTCCTCCTGAAATAAGACAAAACTAGTTTTTCACCTTAAAATTGATTTTTAAAGAACTAGAGCCACTGGCAGATTTTTTTCACTTATAATATGGAAATAAAATTATAAGTGAAAATCTGAGAGTGAAACTAGTAAACTTTTAATAAATATTAAGAAGTTATTGACTTAAAACTAACTCGATTCTTGCAGAAAAGTTGCTTGTCAGTCAGTTTTGTCTTAATTCCAGGGTTCTAAGATTTGTGCAATAGAAACTAGACAAAAATACTTGGTAAGATTTTGTGTTTTTGCAGTGAAATAATTTCAGAACCTTTAATGTGATTTTTATCCTGTAGAATTAATCCATCAAACATCTGCAGGAGGAAAACAGAAACGAAATACTTCCTGAGATCAGCATCAAACATCTGAGCGGAAGTTCTTCTAATCTGTCAGATTGTGAGAACATCTCTGATCCGCAGCCCAGATTTCCTGTCAGATTATTTCTGGACTTTAAAAGGGAAATTAAAAGTCTTAACTGATCGTCTGAGTATCTCCAGAGGCGTTGTGGTGGTTAATGCAGTGGCAGGAAGGATCTCCAGTAGCAGTCAGTCTTCCAGTGAATCTGAAGAGACCTCTGACTGAAGACTGTCATGATATGCTAACATCTCGATTTCCGGGCACTGCTAATCCACCTCATTTGCTTTTGCTGCTCCTTCATGTTCTTAAATCACAGGATGTCTCTGATTTTCAGGAAAAGTTTTTGCAGATTCTCCATAAAAGGCATCAAGTTACATTCATTTAGCTTCTAGATTTGAAGGTTTGTTGATTCTTTTCTCTCTTAAATCAGTTTTTAATCTTTGGTGGCCTTGATTTGTTCAGTTTGTTGTAGTTTAGTCTGAGGAATCTGGGAGTTAAATTACAGAACCTGAACTTTTTCCTGTCCCTGAGAAACGACCAACAGATTCTCCTAAAACAGAGTTCTACTTTTTATCTAGGAAATAATTTCTTTAAGTTTTCTCTTGTAATTCACCATTTATTGTGTAAACTGACGTGTTTCAACATTTGAACAAACGATAGACATAAATACGTTTCCTAAGCTCATGCAGTTTAGCAAAACAAACTGCTGATGAATCAGAGAAAACAGTTTCTACAATATTTTCTACGTCTGGTTGAGTTTCATCCTGAGTCTTACGACTAAACTGATCGTTTGCTGGAAGCAGCTACAGATATCAGCTGCTAACACTTTAGTATTTCATCATATTTTCTGTGTCTTGTCGGGGCAGAGACGTTCTTTCAGTCTCAGAAACGGAAATGTTTAAGTTTAGTCGGGTTTTTAACGGTCAACTGGCCGTTATTAATCTGTGATTTAGCTGTAGAGGAAACGAGGCGAGCGTCGGCGTCTCTGGAGGTTTGTGGTGGATGTTTGTGCTTCCGGTGATGAAGTGCTGCGTCTCTGTCCTCTCCTCCCAGACGCCTCCCAGCGCTCAGCCAGTAAATCCTCCAAACGCGGTAAGACCCAAACGGACTGGGAGCTCTGGTTAAACTGGATCCACTTCTGGCTTCTAACACGTCACAGCAAACTTTCTGCGGCTTGTCACCTGCACCACCAGTCCGAACTAACACCTGTTTGACAGAGTCATGAAAGTTCATCTTAACGGGTCATTTGTGTTTAAATGTGTTTTTTACAGCAGACAATTTGAGATCAAATTTTGTTTTAATGAAAAAAAATCTAAAGTATTTAAAGAAATAAGAGATTTAGATATTTTCAAGTTATTCTAAGAACAAACTAAATTAAAGGCACAACTTTTTTCTGATCTTGTGCATCAGCATAATGGATTTTAAATGTATAGAACTGTATTTAAATATAAATTTACATTTTTTAAATACGTTCACTGGCTTATTTAAAAAGTTTTCATGCATTTCTGTTCAGTTTAAAAAAAACTAACTGCAAGCAGAAAATGTTAATATACATTAAACCCTTAAAAATATGGCATTAGATCTGTAAATAGTTTTGCTAAAAACTGTAAAAATCTAAAAGGAAAAAAAAAAGTTTTCAATAATTTAATAAAGTAAATAATGATGAAAAATAAATCTGATATTTTAAAGTTTGTGTTTCATCCCAGATGAATAATTTCTGCTTCGCGTGGATATTTTTGATTTTCCTGTGACCGTGCAGGAGAAATGATGTGATAAGATGAATGTGGTTCTGTCTGGACCTCGGCTGGTTTCACCTCACTGTGGGTCGGCTGTCGTTCCACAAAACCGTTCTAGAACCAAGAAAATAAAAATCACTGGCACTAAATACCAACACTGATGTAAAAATGTGATGTTGGGGAGGAGAAATGGTAAGTTGCCATGACGACGGCACATTTATTACAACCAAAAACCATCAGATCCCAAACACTGTTCTGCACTAACTCTGGCAGTAATGTGTGATGTTTGTTTTATTGTTGCATGATTATTATTGACTGATTATTAACAATATCTGTTCAAACTAATGGATGCACTTTTGTGAGTTCTGTGATGGATGTTGACGATGATGTTGGGTTCAAAACGGGTTTTGGAAGACGCTAGTTAACGGATCGATAGGAAAACTTAGGCTGACATTGTGATTCATTAATATTGATTTTATGGCCGATAAACATTTTCAGTACCACACGTTGGCCATGAATACCAGCAGCTATTACTGTGATTTTTGGACCATTTTCAGTTTTCCAGTCATGCAACAACGTAGCTTTAGATAGTAGCTACTAGCTAACTGTGGACTTTGATTTTAACTTTAACCACTGTGACATTTTACCGTTTTTACATTTGTAATTCAGGTTTTATCTATTATGAGCTAAAAGCTATAAGACATCACAGCTGGATGAACACTGGACTAGTTTCATTCATTTATATTTGTTGTTGATAAAATCTGTTATTCACATCAGTTATTGTCCGTCTAATTGATTTTAGTTTTATCTACCTTCAGAAAAAGGCTGCATCTGTTTTAATTTAAAAGCACATTTTAAGACATAAAGTTGGTTATATGATAGATTAAGTAGGAGCTCCTTTGCAGAATCTCTGGTTCTGACTAACATGATGAAATGTCTTCCAGTGCTTTTTTGGGCCTTCATCACGCAGGAGAAACTGAGACTGAAGTTAAATCTGAATAAACTACGACAGAACCATAAGAACTAAAACCGATCATCATTTTGTCCAAATGTAAACCAGTGATGGGGATGCAAAGGCTTTGCTTTATAAGGGCAAACTGGAACTGGCACCAGAGGTCAGTATTTATATCACAGGCGGTCACCAGAGCATCCAACAGTCAGTGAGTGAAGGTCATCAGATTCAGATCCACCAGTCAGATTTCAGGTAAAGCAACATGATTTGGTGTTGCTGCTTCAAACACCAGATTCAAGCATCTTCCTCTGACTTCATAACAACTTCCACACTGAAGAGTGTTACAGTTAGCACAGCCTGTTGTATGGTGCATTCACTGACTAGAAAAGAATCAGCTCTTTGGGTTTCTTCCAGTTGACTTTTAGCCACATTTAGTTCCAGCATCCACACCAGCTCTGTTCAGTCCGCTTTAAAAACTCGTTTGTCTGGAAAGTTTGATGCATTTGGGCAGGAGGGAACGCGCAGTCGGATGAAATCTGATGCCACTTCATTTTTGTTTCCATTTGGTGAAGAAGGAAGTTGTGCTCAGTGTGTTCATCAGAGGTTTTAGCGTCGTTTACTTCAGTGGTTCTTAGTGCAGCGCCCCCACAGGCCAGGAGGGGAACAGGTTGGTTTGGGAAAGAGAACCACAACAGCTGGAGATGAGCAGATGATCCAACCTGGGTTCCCAGTAAAACCGCGTCCGCAGGACAATCAGAAGGGAAAACATCGCTAGAGATCGAAGTACCAGCTGGTTCTCATGCTAACCTGAAAGGAACACCGTCAACCTCCAGAGAGAGCCAGTGTGTCTGGAGACCTTCACTAACTGTAGGATGCTTCAGCAACCGCCTGATGTTTCATGACATACCTCTGGTATCTGCTGAGTAATCCTTGCATACATGTGACGGTTTAAATCGGCTCCACTGTAAACCGTTTCCCGGCCGAGGTGTCGGTCTCCTTTTCTCCTGCTCCACTCCTCATCTCATCACCTCCTCTTCTTCTCCTCATGTTGACCCCATTGCTCATCTGTTGTTTGTTCTCTCTCTCTTTTTGTTTTTCTTTTCTTTTCTTCCCGTCTGTGTAGGCAGCCCGTTGAGTAACTTCTTTGACGTAATTAAACAGCTTTTTTCAGACGAGAAGAACATCCAGGCGTCGCACTCCCCAGGCGCCCCTACCTCGACTAGCTCCCCCACCAAGCATGCCCCCGGCAGCAGGCCCAGCCAGACCCCGCCCAATGACTCTAAATGCCCCCCAGGCAAAGACAAAACAAAGATGGCCGCCAGCAGCAGGACACAGGAGCACCCTTAAGGAGCAGTAGCTGTGCATGACTAGATGAGAAGCAGGAATCAGGTCATTAAGAAGCAGAGAGCTGCTAACTTTGCCCTTTAGCCCCAAGTTAAAAAAAAAAATCTACTTTTTGCCTATAAATTTTGTACTGTATAATGGGAATGGCTCAGTTTAAAAGTCAATCAGTATTTTAAGAACTAGTAGCAAATGTAGCTTTGCTGTCCCTCCTTGTGTCCCTCTGTGTCCTCCTCACATGTGTGATGGCTTGACTTGTCTCTGCCACCAGGGATCATCCATAATAGCTATTAACCTCGACGGCTCCTCAGCTGCAGCCCGCCGCCGCCGCCGAACCGAGCCCGACGCTGAGGGAAGGCGGAGCATCCCTTTTTGATTCGCCCAACATTACCAAACGCAGACCATCTCAGAAGAGTTTAAAAAGGAAAAAAGGCCTTAAGACAGTGATGTTTGTCCTCCTCTTCATCCTTTTTCTTCCAGTTTTCCCCACATGTACATACAAAAAACTACAAACCTGACTCCTTTATGGGATTTCCTGACTTGAATCGGTGGCGGACGGAGGGACGGACTCTGCTTTCTTTTTAACGTTGAGTTTTTGTGACTGATTCTGGGGAACCAGGACAGCACAGGAGGTTCTGTGATGTTCTAAAGATGAATGATCTCTTCTGTTGTACAGGCCAGTTGATCTGTGTTGTGACATTAGGTTTTCAGTTGATTTGTATTTAAGTTCAGGTGTGGTCACACCAGACAGGGTTTGATCCGTTAGCTAACTGACAGCCTGACATTCATTTCTGTGCGATCTTTCTCCTAATCCTCATTTATTTCTACAGTTTAACTTCTCTAAGTCTGATGAGATGCAGAAACTTAAAATGAATTTGTTGGATGCAAAGTTAACATTTACCCACTTTAGCTCATCTTCAGTACTTCAAGTGGCTGTCGTTAGCATAGCTATCATTAGCATAGCTATCGTTAGCATAGCTATCGTTAGCATAGCCGTCGCCGCTCAGTCACATGCTAAGGACAGCCTGTCGTTTGTTTACGACCGATAGTTACTGCAGCATAAATCTGAAAAACTTTTCTTCTTCTTTATTTACAAACAATGATTTTACTGATTATAGAAGAGAAATGAAAATGTCAAAGATTTTTTAAAAACTTGATTTATCTGGCATAGACTTAAGGCTTACCTTTAGAGACACATTAAGCTGCAGTGAACACATCCTTGATGCTAGCGCCACCTTCTGGGCCCTGTTTGACACTACATACATAAATGCACCAGGTGGAATATTGTTCTCATGTTTTCTGTTTAAAATACATTATTTTTTGCAGCTGGCGCCCTCTGCTGTTGGTTTAGCAGATTACAGCTCTAAGACGTCTTCATACAGTTTAATTATTTTTTCAGTATTTAATTTATTTTGGTTTTGACCGGTTCTGGTGTGACCACGTTGTTAGTAAATCATCTTTCTGTTATGTTGCACTTTCGACAGCACTTCAGTTACATTAAAGTGATTTTTTTACATTTTGTTATTCAGGTTATTTTTTGTATTATCTGCAGGTTTCAGACGATACTGAACTGCTCTGAATATTTTTCTATTTGAATGCATTTTTCATGCGCTATTTATCAGTTATTTATATCAAAGATGTAGAGAATGTTCCTGAAATTGATTATTTAAAGATATTTTTCTCATGTTTAATTTATTTTCTTTTCCCTTTTTGGTTTTTGTTGTTTTTTTGAGGAGAGAAACTTTGTAATATATGTTTGAAACTGATTTGTTGTATTTAAGAATGTAGATTTAGCCTCTTTGGGAGGAAACCCCCTCTGTTGGGCCAATGAAGACTCAAACATCCATCGTGTAAATAAGCAGTTTTCCTGACGAGCTTATTTAAAAAACCAGGGGGATTCCTGTTCTTAGCTTTGACCTTTGACCTCGTACGGTTGTTTGCATGTTCAGCATTCGTCTTTTCTTTGCATGTCGCTGTTGAAATGTTCACCCGTTCCCTTTTTCTGTCTAGGTTTTTATGCATTTTTTTAATCTGAGCTTTTTCATTCATTTTACCTTCAGATTTGTTATTTTTTATATTAATTTGTTCTTTTGCCAGCCGCCTCCTTCCTCCCCTTACGTTTGATTACTGTAAGCACACAGTAAACATGCAAAGCATCCTAACCACTCATGTTTCTCGGAGACGGACTCGGTTCAGAGGAAACCTAAAGCAATACCTCCCATCTTCGCTTTTTCTACTGCGGGAATCCAGAGCACACTGAACGGACTCGGAGCAGGAGAACCACTGGCAGCGTATTCCCTTGTGATGTTACTGTGAACAAATTCAGTGCTAAAGGAATAAATCTGTTGACTTTGGCAGGTTTCACACTTCATGAGGTTTATTTATTCAGAAATATTACGTTTTAACTGAAAACAGCACGATGGGAAATTATTTCTAATAACTGGGATTATCAACGTTAACGGATCTGATTAATCTGAACATTTAAAGTGTTAATATTATGTAGTAGTTTGATTAATCTGCGTTTGTGTAAAAGTAAAACTAATAACCAGCTGGGTCGTCTTTTATGAAAGATGATAATTCAGATTATTTAAAGTTAAAAGATAATTAACTTTAAAGTGAAAGTTCATTGCTTTGAATTTAAACAAAGCAATAAATTCAAACTGGTGCAAATTATCACAGCTGCAGGTTTTAATCCGTCAACATGAAAAGGAACAACGTCAATTAAAAATAAAGGTGTGAATTAAAATGTTTAGAAGTTATAAGTGGAAGGAAACAGTTTAAAAAGAAAGTACCTCAGAGGACGGCTGGAGGTTTAACCGGGTTTCTGTTCTTGTAAATATTTTACGGATCAGAACCTGCTCAGCCTGAATGCAGAAGTGAAACGTAGAACCAGATGTTTGTTTGTGGTACCAACCAGAAACGATCGGTCAGAACTTCTACCCTCGACATGCAGCGTGCAGGTCAGACAGTCTGTGGATCAGCGCCTCCGCCAGGCTCCTCAGGACCGGCAGGAGGTCCGGGTTCTGGTCCCGTCCCGACCCAGACGGCGCTCCCTAGCAACAGGCAGTGGAAGTCCTCTCTGTCCGGCAGCCGGTCCAGATTCTGCAGGAAGAATCCCTCACAGAACCGGCAGAGCTCAGCCGCTGCAGAGACGCAGGGAAAACCAGAACCGGATCCATAGGAACGGGTTCAGAGAGAATGACACGTTTCACTCAGAGGTCCAGAAATAAAAACGCCTCATCCAGTCAGCTTCAGAACATTCTGCTCCGGTTCTGGAGGGTCGAACTCGTGTTTCGGTACCTTGGCGACCCGGTAGACGCTCACAGCGTTGTCTGCAGTCAGAGTGTTGGACCGCATCGCCTCGCAGCATCGCTGCAGCTGCCGAGCTGGAGGCCAGCGGTCTGCAGCAGCTGCAGCACAAAACATTTAAAATCAGCCAAATCCAGATGAGTCAGAGTTCATCTGGAAAATATTCAGGTTTATTCAGACGTGATGGCAGAGCTTTCATTCTTCCAACTCCTTTTCAAAATAGCAAAGACGAGAAAACACCGAGACTTTCTGTTAGCTGGACTTTATGTTCATCAGCTTCCTTCATCTGATGACCTGCTGTCGGCTCTCAACTGTAAAGTCCATCCAGAGACGGCGGCCATCTTTACTGCCATAAACCAAGTCTGTGGCGGCTTCTGCACACGCGGGCCGTAAACCGCTCAAACGTTTCATTACGGTCACATTTAACTATGAACAACCATGCAGAAACAATCTGCTGTGAACGCAGCCCTTTAGAATCAGAACCTTTAGAATCAGAACCTTTAGAATCAGAACCTTTAGAATCAGAACCTTTAGAATCAGAACCTTTAGAATCAGAACCTATAAAATCAGAACCTATAAAATCAGAACCTATAAAATCAGAACCTTTAGAATCAGAACCTTTAAAATCAGAACCTATAAAATCAAAACCTTTAGAATCAGAACCTTTAGAATCAAAACCTATAAAATCAGAACCTTTAGAATCAAAACCTATAAAATCAGAACCTTTAGAATCAGAACCTTTAAAATCAGAACCTTTAAAATCAGAACCTTTAGAATCAGAACCTTTAGAATCAGAACCTTTAGAATCAGAACGTTTAGAATCAGAACCTATAAAATCAGAAC